CTGTTACCGCGGCTGCTCCAAAAACAGGGGTTAACGATGTCTTTTGGGAACAGGGTTTGATAGAGAATCGATCCGGGATCGTTCGAGATGTCGGCGATAATAATAACATAGGAAGAACGTTTTGGTGGAATGTAAATAACAACATTACATAGAGATAATGAACGAGGCATTTGTAAAATAGATTTTGTTTCTTACTCTGAGATAACTGTATCTTGGTCATTCTTACTCTGTCTCTGTAAGTGTAATTGATTGTTTGAGAGAACAAGTAATATAGATGCGTATAAAGGCACTTTGCTCTCAATTGATTTGGTTTACGTTCCTCTTGTGTCACTTATAATCTACCAAGTTGACTTTTTTTATTGTAGCGTATGAGTCAACGGGTTTAAGAAAATATACCCGAACATTCTAACCATTGGACGACAACGGATAGACTAATGAATGTTTTACTACAAGATATATAATTCTTGTTGTTTTATGGACGTTATGTTTTTTTTGGTCACGGGACGTTATGTTTAGAGAGAATTATTAAACCACAAAAAGTGAACATTCTTATTTAATAACTAACTAGACTTTTATACGGGAAAAATTAAAAATAAATAGAGATACAATTAAGCGATACAAAAATAATTATATGATCAATCACACATGATATCCAAATAGACATATTACAATTTTTATAACGTAACTCATATCCATAAATGAATCATCGTTAAAACATTATGATATATAATAGCATATGCTTATGTGAAAGATAAAAATAAATTAGTGTAAACGTCAAAACATTAGAATTTTTTTGGTTTGTTTCATGTGTTTAGAAAACGAAGAAAACTTATCAGGGATCAAAGATGTGGCCATTGTGGTGGAGAAGAAGAGGATGTCGATCATCTCTTGTTTACTTGACCTTATATGCAATAATTATTTGGGCATCATCTCCTTTAGCCTACATGTTGTATCCTCTGCCAGCTCAATCCACACTTTTTGGTTTTTTTATTATATCATATTATTAAATTTGGGTT